TCCGACAAATGTCTGCATAGTCAAAGCTATGGTTTTTCCAATAGCGATGTATGGAAGTGAGAGCTGGACCATAAAGAAGGGTGACCACCAAAGAATTGATGCTTTTGAATTGTTGTTCCGGAGGAGACTTTTGAGAGTCCCCTGGACTGCAAAGAGAACAAATCTAACCATTTTGAAGGAAATCAACCCTGAGTACTCACTGGAAGGACAGATCCTGAAGCTGAGGCTCCAATACTTTGGCCATCTCATGATAAGGGAAGACTCCCTGGAAAAGACCCTGATGTTGGGAAAGTGTGAAGCAGGAGGAGAAGGGGACGACAGAGGACGAGATGGTTGGACAGTGTCATCCAAGCTACCAACATTAATTTGACTCAACTCTAGGAGGCAGTGGAAGACAGGAGGGCCTGGCGTGCTCTGGTCCATGGGGTCACAAAGAGTCCGAAAAGACTAAATGACTAAACAACAACAAATGTATTAAATAGCTTTAATTCCTAACTCTTCCTCCAATTTGGATGTGAATACCCTCAAATTAAAGCTGAGAGACAGCACCTTAAGCCCACATTCATTATTTAACTGTAACTTGAATTTATTTTGGTTAACAGTCTAAATAACAAAATTCATGTCAGTGTCCAATTATTTCTGGACCTTATACAATATTCTAAACCAATGTTGCCATTCCATACTCTGTTTAGGATATGAACAATCAGGCACTCTGAAAAATTAGTTTTGGAAGTTGGCATATCTTTAGCACAATGATGTAATTTTGAAGCCAATTATAGCTAAAACAGTACAGATTTAAACTTATTTCAGGACAGCCAAACCACTACTTATTCCCCACATCTCATAACTGGAAAACTGTAAATCTGCAAAAGTTCTATGCTGCTGAAAGTCTAGCTCTTTTACAAGCTGCAAATCCCAGGCTTCCTTATCTGGAAGTGTGATGCCCAGTTAGGTTTACTGAATGATTTGGCAAGTATAATGTATAATGGTAAGCAAAGAGCATGGAGTGTTGACAATAGTAGTTTTTTATAACTACAGTGGTGCCTCGCTTAACGATTTTAATTGGTTCCCAAAAAATCATCGCTATGGGAAAACATCGCTAAGCGAAACGCGTTTTCCCATAGAGATGCATTGAAAACCGGATAATCCGTTCCAATGGGAACGGATTGCTGTCCTTGAGCGAGAATTGCCATAGGAAACATCGCTAAGCGAAATGTGGTTCCCCCATTGGAATGCATTGAAACCTTTTCAATGCATTTCAATGGGGGAGAAAAAAAATAAGCGAAACACCATTTCCCATAGGAATGCATTGAAAACCGGATAATCCATTCCAATGGGAATGGATTACCGTCCTTAAGCGAAAATCGCCATAGGAAACATCGCTAAGCGAAATGTGGTTCCCCCATTGGAATGCATTGAAACCTTTTCAATGCATTTCAATGGGGGAGAAAAAAAATTCACCAAAAATTCAAAAAGAATCAGAACGAAGCCAAATTTGGTTAACAAAGGGTTTATTAAGTGCACTAATGATTTCAAGCACTCTAAACCCTTTTTAAACAATTTAACACCTTTTAAAAATAGTGAAAACGGAGCTGTCAAAAACATCGCTAAGCAAAGCAGGGGGATCTAAACTGTCATCGCTAAACAAAGCAAGGTCCCTAACATTGATATGCGAAATTCCCCCATTGGAAACATCGCTAAACGGAGCGCAAGATCGCTCCAAAAACCTCATCACTAAGCGAATACATTGTTAAACGAGGCAATCGCTAAGCGAGGCACCACTGTATTTACAGTTATTTAAGGAATATGGTAAACAAGTTCTCAGAGACTAATGGAACAGGGAAATGGACTGTGTTGTTTTGCCTAATCTAACCACTGGAAGACAGCACTCACCAACATTCCTGAGATCTCAATAAAGCTTAAGTTATGATTCATTCAACAAACAATCATGTTTAAAACATATGGAACACCACAATGTCTTTTTAGGAGGGGTCTGAGCAAATCATCTAAATGTTGAAGCTCTGATTCTTTTGTTACATCACTATGGGCATCCCTGGTCATAAGATCATTTTGGAGAGGAGTTATCAGTTGCACTAATTCTGTACTAGACCAATCTCTGATCTTTGTTGATGTTTATGTACCTTTAAACTATATACATAGAAGCCTATGTACAGAAACCCTTGTATCTTGTCAAATTTTTCTGTTTCTCTCCTTTTTTTTCTTTGCTTTTATAATGCTATAATGTAATATCATAAAAGCTATTACTTTTAAGTAATCAATAAAATTTAAAGATAAAATAAGTGGTTCTGATTGGCTGGGAGAAACTAGGGAAATAAGAGTGTTGGCAATGTTTGTGGAGCAATCTGGTGTGGAAAGATTGTGGCAAGGGTGTTTTTTGGAGTCTGGTTGAAGGGAGACTGAGGGGGGGGAAATAGAGACTGATGAATTGCAGTGAATTAATTTAAATCCTAGAAATAAACAACGTTCTTTTAATACTGTTATTTTGATAAAACCTTATTTGTTCTATTCAAGCTGAGTGATGCTAAGTTCAATACCTGAAGGTTAGCGATGAAAATACAAATACACCTATAAGAGCAGCTAAAGGTAGGTGGTAGTAAAAGAGGAAATAAGTGAATATTATTGTTAAAAAATATGTCTATTTCTGTGATGGTTTAAGGAGACTATTAACTGAACAGTCAAGTGCCAAGACAAAGGCAGATTTGTCGTTATTATAAAAAAAAGGGGTGTGACAGGGAGTCACAGCAATTGAACACATTTGTCAACATTCTCCTGGGAAAAACCATGCTCACAAAAGCAATCACAGTATTTTTCCCTTGCTGCCTATTGTGTAACTAAGCACACACTCAACTCCCACCCAGCATTGATGAAGAATTACCAGCCAGCAGTACAGATGGTCTTTATATTGCGTAGGCCTAGTAGGGTTTTGGCTACTGGAAGGCTTAGGTTTTGCACTGTCAACATGCTGATGTAAAATATTACGTGTCATTCATATACATCCTAGGCCTTTACCTTTTTCTTGTGTCTTTCGCGCCATGGGGGTTCTCTTTCTCGAGCTGATTTATCTGTGATGCAAGAATGTTTTAGTGGAACATTTATTTACAATTTCTTGATTTAACATCAATGTCCATTCATTATACAAAACTATGTCAGAAAAAGAGCCTCTAAAAACCCCATTTTTCAAGCAAAACTTCAAAAGCTGTCCTATACCAAGTCAGCCTACGAGCCCACTGCACTAAGTGGCAACAGGTTTTTGGGGTTGTTCCTGAATCCTACCTTGTAGTGCTGGGCAGTGAAGCGAGAATGTTCACTGCACAAAGCATGTGTTCTGCTACTGAACTATGATCATTCCCTGCTCCTAGATGCAAGACTACCAAACAGAACCCAATAGCATGAGTCAACCCTTGGATGTGACCTACACCACTGGTTCTTAACCTTGGGTTACTCAGGAGTTTTGGACTGCAACTCCCAGAAGCCTTCACCACCAGCTGTCCTGACTGGGGTTTCTGGGAGTTGCAGTTCAAAAGCATCCGAGTAACAAAGGTTAAGAACCACTGCCCTACACCATAGCAACACACAATACTGCTACCTGGTCAAAATCCAGATTCATTAATATTTGCAGTTATGGTCAGCCAGTGAAAATAAAATATTACAAAAGTACTGAGGCTGCCCGGTCAAAATCCAGATTCATTAATATTTGCAATTATGGTCATCCACTGAAAATAAAATATTACAAAAGTACATGAGACTTGCAACTTCCCCACGCATAAATGTGTACAAAGATTTTGTGTTGATATATTATATGCTGCCAATTAGATTCTGATTTATGGCGGCCCTATGAATTAGTGACCTCAATGCGAGTTACTTCTACGTAGGGCAGCGTGGACTCGTAATCCTATACTACGTAAACGACATTGAGCTCTATGGGGCTTACTTGCAAGTAAATCTCGTGAGACAACTCAAGCTGCCGTTGCTGATACAGAGCGGCACCTCACCCCATACCTTTTTCTCGCCCGGTATCCACGTTCAAAGCGCTCGAGTAGAAAGCAGAGTTCTCCCTGAGCCAGAAAAACGGCCACTGCCTCCGCAGCAATCCACTAACAGCAAAACGGTTTACACGCGCCGCCGCCATGTTTGGAGCGGCGCGGTCCAATGACGTCAGCGCCGGCTGTCTCACCCTCGACGAAGGGCAGCGAAAAGAGTGCCCGCGACCCAAGCTACAACTGCGCGTGCGTCGGTGTGTGTGTGTGTGTGTCTCTCTCTCTCTCTCTCTCTCTCTCTCTCTCTCTCTCTCTCTCTCTCTCTCTCTCTCTCTCTCTCTCTCTCTCTCTCTCTCTCTCTCTCTCTCTCTCTCTCTCTGTGTGTGTGTAAATTGCTGCCTCACACACTCTCGCCTTCGGAGCGAAGATGCTCTCACGCCGCAGAGTCCAAGCCAACGGATGCGGGGGAGGGCCATTGGGGGAGGTGGAAGGAAAGTCAGTGCCTAAGAGCCAGAACTTCAAAATAGGTCGCCTAATATGTCTCAAGATTATTTAAATGCACGAAGTGTGCAAAAGATCATTTTAATTTTATAAAATTATGTTTTGTCAGTTGGCCCCTTAAGTAAGACATAAATATACTTATCTAAATACTCAAAAAAACCTCTTTTTCCTTTTGATTTCACCTTGTTCTAGCAGTCCACTACAGTACGGGGTGGACAATATGGAGCCCTGAGGCCAAATTTTGCCCAGTTTAGTTATGCTCTCCAGGCCTTCCCTAGTATCCCCTTGATGAATTACAGTAGCTGAATGACAGTTCAGGTTATAGAGATCCATTGTATGTGTTGCACTGTTTAAAAACTGACAGTTTTCCAAATGGGATGTAGACTTCCAGTTAACTCCAGGTTTTATTGTTTGAACTTTGCAACTTCCAGAAGATACGTGGATATAAAATCAGCCCACTGATCCACTGAAATTACCCCTGATGTAAGACTTTAGTCATAAGTTATCAGTGATCACATGATCCTTGTCTTTCGTACCCAGTTGCACACATTTCCTATGCAATCTTATTATAAGATAGACCCTTCAGTCCCATTCACAATTGGAAAGCAGATCTTGATCTGGACATGACCAACCTAAGTCTCATTGTTTCTAGTGGATTTATTCTAGGTAAATCTAGTTCTGAATTTACTGAATTTTCTGCAGTGGTGTTCAATGTCCATTATTCTAAGAGAATATGCCTCAGGGACCTTACAAACCATTGTATGCTTCTCCATTTTTGGCATTCACAGTAAGTGAGCCACATTATAAGGCTCTTGCCTGCCTCCAGCCATATGAGACCTTCTATAGTTAGATAGCTGGATTTTGCATATTGTGTATATCTTCTGTGGTTCCTAAGTCTTCATTGGTTCAATTACAGCAAGAAGAATAAAGTTCCATCATGTAGTTCAAAATGCTATTGATTATTTTAAGTTTGAGCCAACATAACAAATGACCATGATTTATTTTTGCAATTGTATCAAATGTTGCCTCCTGAATTATAGGTAGTAGAATGCTGTCACTTTGGACTTTCAGGTACTGGTGTATTCCCACCTGCCTCTTTTCCAGGTGTTGATGTTGGGTCCGTAAGAAGTACATTTTTGATGAAGTGCCGTTTGTGAGTAAAACAGGCACTGCTCATACAGCCTTACTCTCCCACATTCTCTGTTCACATATGAACAGCACCAAATGTTTTAACTTTCTTGACTGCAGAAGTGCTGCATTCTTCTCCTAATTTTGGTCATCCTTTTCTTCTACAACTTTGAACATCCACGGTATCAATTCTAAAATGCAAATTAAAGCTGCAACTGTTGTTTTTGTTAGGTGCTGCCAAGTTGTCTCCAACTTATAGCAACCCTATGAGTGAGCAATCTAAACTCAACATCCCTGCTCAGCTCTTGTAAACTGAAGCTTAGGGAGTCAATTCATCTCGGATTTGGTCTTCCTCTTTTCTGGCAACCTTTTCCAGCATTTTTATCTTTTCCAGAGAATCTTGCCTTCTCATGTTGTGCCCAAAGTAGGACAGCCTCAGTTTCAAAATTTTGCCTTAAGGCTTGATTTGAACTAAATCTCATTTGTTGATTTTTCTGGTGGTCCAGGGTATCTGCAAAGCTCTCCCCCAGCATTATATTTCAAACAAATCTATTTTCCCCCTGTCAGCTTTCTTTACTGTCCAGCTTTCAAACTCATAGTGATCTGGAATAGAATATTGTGAATGATTTTGGTCTTGGTCTCCAGTGACACATCATTACACTTGATGATCTTTTCTAATTCCTTCACTGCTGTCCTTCTAAGCCTCAGTCTTCTGATTTTTTGACAGTAGTCTCTCTTTGGGTTGATAATTGAACCAAGATGTACAAAATCTCTAATTATTTCAGTTTCTTCATTGTTCATACTAAAGTTGTGTAGTTCTTTTGCAGTCGTGATTTTTGTCTTGATGTTCACCTAAAAATCATTGCAAGTCATTACTGCTTTTTGTCAGTAAGATGGTATCATCAGCATATTTTCAATTGTTTTACTCCTCTGTCTGAATCTAGTCTGGTTATCTGTATGATATGTTCTGCGTACAGATTAAAAAGATAAGGAGATAAAATGTACCGCTGTCTGACATTTACCTATAGCAGTGGTTCCCAACTGAGTGTTCTTGGACTTCAACTCCTAGAAGCTTTCACCACTAGCTGTGCTGGCTGGAGTTTCTAGGAGCTGGTCGAAGAACGCCTGAGCCTATAGGAAACCATTTTGTCTCCATATTTTGTCCTTACAGTTGTGTTGTTGTTTAGTCGTGTCTGCCTCTTTGTGACCCCATGGACCAGAGCACACCAGGCCCTCCTATCTTCCACTGCCTCCCAGAGTTGGGTCAAATTCATGTTGGTAGCTTCGATGACACTGTCCAACCATCTCGTCCTCTGTCGTCCCCTTCTCCTCTTGCCTTCACTCTTTCCCAACATCAGCGTCTTTTCCAGGGAGTCTTCTCTTCTCTTGAGATGGCCAAAGTATTGGAGCCTCAGCTTCAGGATCTATCCTTCCAGTGAGCACTCAGGGTTGATTTCCTTCAAAATGGATAGATTTGTTCTCCTTGCAGTCCAGGGAACTCCTCTCAAGAGCCTACTCCAGCACCACAATTCAGAAGCATCAATTCTTCGGGGGTCAGCTTTCTTTGTGGTCCAACTCTCTGTTCCATACATTACTACAGGAAAAACCATAGCTTTGACTATGCAGACTTTTGTTGGCAAGGTGATGTCTCTGCTTTTCAAGGTGTTGTCTAGGTTTGTCATTGCTTTCCTCCCAAGAAGCAGGCATCTTTTAATTTCATGGCTGCTGTCAACTTCTGCAGTGATCATGGAGCCCAAGAAAGTAAAATATGTCACTGCCTGCATATCTTCCCCAGTCCGTTTGCCATGAAGTGATGGGACCAGTGGCCATGATCTTCATTTTTTTGATTTTGAGCTTCAGACCATTTTTTGCACTGTCCTCTTTCACCCTCATAAAGGGGTTATTTAATTCCTCCTCTTCTGCCATAAGAGTGGTATCATCTGCATATCGGAGGTTGTAGACTGATCTTTTCCAGTCCTCTGGCCACTGCTGAGTTTTCCAAACTTGCTGGCATATTGCGTGTAGTACCTTAACAGCGTCATCTTTTAAGATTTTAAATAGTTCAACTGGAATGCCATCATCTCCACTGTCCTTGTTGTTAGCCAAGCTTTCTAAGGCCCACTTGACTTCACTTTCCAGGATGTCTGGCTCAAGCTCAGCAACCATATTATCTGGGTAGTCTGGGATATCCAGATCTTTCTGGTATAATTCCTCTGTATATTCTTGCCACCACTTCTTGATGTCTTCTGCTTCTGTGAGGTCCCTACCGTTTTAGTCCTTTATAATGCTCATCTTTGCACAAAATGTTCCCTTAATATCTCCAGTTTCTTGAACAGATCTCTGGTTTTTCCCTTTCTATTATATTCCTCTATATCTTTGCAGTGTTCATGGAGGAAGGCCCTCTTGTCTCTCCTTGTTATCCTTTGGAGGTCTGTAACTTTCCCTATCTCTTCTTTGGTGGTCTGTAACTTTCCCTATCTCCCATGCATTTTGTTTCCCTTCTTTTCTCTGCTATTTGTAAGGCCTCGTTGGACAGCCACTTTGCTTTCCTGTATTTCCTTTTCTTTGGGATGGTTTTTATTGTTGCCTCCTGTACAACGTTATGCGCCTCCATCCATAGTTCTTCAGGCACTCTGTCCACCAAATCGAGTTCCTTAAATCTGTTCTTCACTTCCACTGTGCGTTCATAAGGGATTTGGTTTAGATTATACCTGACTAGCCCAGTGGTTTTTCCTACTTTCTTCAGTTTAAGCTTGAATTTTGCTATGAGAAGCTGATGATCAGAGCCACAATCATCTCCAGGTCTTGTTTTTGCTGACTGTATAGAGCTGCTCCATTTTTGGTTGCAGAGAATATAATCAATCTGATTTTGGTATTGCCCATCTGGTGATTTCCATGTGTAGAGTTGCCTCTTGTGTTGTTGGAAAAGAGCGTTTGTGATGAACAGCTTGTTCTCTTGACAAAACTCTTATTAGCCTTTGCCCTGCTTCGTTCTGAACTCCAAGGCCAAACTTTCCTGTTGTTCCTTTTATCTCTTGACTCCCTACTTTAGCATTCCAATCTCCTAGAGTGAGAAGAACATCTTTCTTTGGTGTCAGTCCTAGAAGGTGTTGTAAGTCTTCATAGAATTGGTCAATTTCAGTCTCTTCAGCATTGGTGATTGGTGCTTAAACCTGGATTATTGTGATGTTGAAAGGTCTGCCTTAGATTCATATTGAAATAATTCTATCATTTTTGAGATTATATCCCATTACAGCTTTTCCCACTCTTTTGTTGACTATGAGGGCTAATCCATTCCTTCTACGGGCTTCTTGCGCACAATAGTAGATACGGCAATCATCTGAATTGAATTCGCCCTTTCCTCTCCATTTTAGTTCACTGACGCCCAGAATGTCAATTTTGATTCTTGCCATCTCCTGTTTGTCCACATCCAGCTTGCCAAGGTTCATAGATCTTACATTCCAGGTTCCTATGCAGTATTTTTCTTTGCAGCATCGGACTTCCCTTTCACTTCCAGGCACGTCCACAGCTGAGTGTCCTTTCAGCTTTTGCCCAACTACTTCATTAGCTCTGGAGCTACTTGTCCTCCA